ATAAAATTTTGAATGTAAGACACTAAAACCTTGTGTCATGCGCAGTAAAGGGTTCCTGTGCCAAAAGGGTTAAACACTTAAGATTTATTTAGTATTTAGCCATTTCTAAAGTAAAATATCCCTAACACCTTCTCACATACACTCTCACTATTGGCTACATTGTACCAGAAATGAGATGCTTACAACAGTACATAGAGAAATAGACCAAATGTTTCCTGTAAAACCGGATGACCTTCATCACGTCTCAAAACTCCCTTTATATATAGATATCAGTCATTCAGTGACATCACCATTCTCAGTTTGCCCCTGAAGAAGAAAGGTCCACCTTTCGAAAGCGTTTAGGTTATAGGGTTTTTATTAATTTCTATCAAGACTTTTTGAACCTACGTGTTTTTATAGCATCATGAATAGAGTCAAATTTTACTTATGTCATATTCTGTATACAAATTTTCTGGAACCTTCTGTTATTGTAGTATAGTAAACTTAAATGGTGATGCTAAGATCATCTTAGAATACAAAGACTAAACTAAATTATTAACAGCTAATTTTGGCTCTGCGTTTAGGTATTTGTTTTTACAAAATTTAAGTTGGAGTTTCTTCCATATTATTTGCTTGTACTTTCTGTGTATTGCGAAACTAAACTTCATTTGGCAAAAAGTATTTTCCATTCAGACAAAGGGCTTACAGTGGACAGAATATAATAGCAACTGAGGGGAGGTCAACACCTGGAAATGTGGTTCAGGGAAAGTCCTCTCATGGAGACAGTGAGCATGAGATTTGCATAATGAACATGCTAATAGCTGAACAATAATGTCTGAATTACTACATTTGCGAACTTTTGGGTTTCATTAAAGTAGCCAATGCATCACAATATACCAGTGACTTGAGGTAACCCCATTACCAAAAATTAGAATGTGGCCATATGTGTGTAAAATGTCTGCCAATTTTTCATATCTTGAAAACAATGGCATAGCAAAATCTTGAATGTCCATGTGATGTGGGGTGAAGTATCACTTTGGATAAAGACTGTTTCACTCAAAACACCCTTTCCCTGAAGTGTAAGAATAAATAACATGTTTCAGCATGGATTAGCAGCACAAACCATTCAGAATTAAGCCTGATATATGTGATGCTAATTTTATGCAGTCCAAGTTATGCAAATTTTGTGGTCTGCATCCCAGGGTGACATTTGTTTTTTACAGTGATTTGCCTATTTCATCATACTGTTAGTTTATTACAACTCTTTGATGATTAGTTTTTCAGGTTATAAGCATTAGAATGTTATAATTCGTTTTATAATAACACTGCAGTATTTTTCTTGGAGTAGTTTAATTTTATGCATGGTAAAACTTAAATCGTAATAGAATTATTAACTTCATAATAACATCATAATGTTCAGGTCTCTGCATTGGAAAAACTAAAGTTAAAATAAAATATTTGACTTTATGATAACACTGTGGTTTCTTCTTGGAGTAGTTTATTTCTGTGAATGGTAAAACTTAAGTTTGAATAGAATGATTAACTTTCTTATAATCCTGTAGTGTTGTCTTGGAGTAGTTTAGTTTTATGTACAGTAACAGTAAAGTGAGAATAGAATAATTAACTATGTAATAACCTTGTATTTCTGTCTTGGAATAGTTTAGTTCTCTGCATGGTAGTACTAATATTAAAATAGAATAATGGAAATCATGATAACCCTATAGCATTGTCTTGGAGAAGTTTTGTTCTACACATGCTAACACTAAAGTTTTTTCTTCATTATGTTATTGTAGCTTCATCACCACCAACTTATGTCAACACCAGTGAACTTGCAGCCCTGGCCACAGCTAGATCTTCCGATGGCCCTAAGAAGGTATTTGGTTATTTCTTTTCAATTTCAAGTATTATTTATGTGATTTTGATTGTTGTTAGTGATTTTTGCAAACCTCATTAAATCAATAACTATACAGTATGTGATTGAATCAAATTGTGTATCCTATTTTGTAAAATACTTTAAGACTTCAGTGCAGCATTTGATATTGGACTGAAACTTTAAGAATCCCTGCAATTCTCATGACTACATTTTGAGGGGCTCATAGGTGATTTTAGGAATCTACCAGATTGCCAAACCTAGGCAAAATAACAATCATAAAAATATTTTGAAAATAGTGAAACAAACCAGAGTGATGCTCACTGTATGAATTTAAAACAATTAAATTGAAAAAGGTGTGTGCAATCAATATTGCCAAAAGCTTGAGAAGCAAAATTCTTCTTATCGAGGAACAATTTTTACCATTACACTTTGCCCATTTTTTCATATTGTTAATTTTATAGCTACTACATATAAGTCCCCAACAATATACTGTTACAACAGCGGAGGTCACGTGATGCTGGTACCATGTGATAAGTGTCTAGAAAGTTCATGAAGAGGCAAGTGCATTCTAGACACCTTCTATTCTTGTATATAAGCACAGCAAATAAAGCAAGATAATTAATTGCAGATAGACAGATATAGAGACAGATAATCGAGTCAAGTGAGTGGTAGTGACCATAAGTAAAGTGTGTGAATCATTGTGAATTATAGCGTGTGTTTAAGTTAAAGTGACTATGGAAATTAATTGTATTGCAAAGTTGTATTGAGAAAGAATAAACTAGTTTTATTTAAGAAAGGCCTTTTATCGCTGAAGTTCCTCAGGAAGAAGTTATACCGGGAAATTAACAAAAGACTAGAGACATAACAACAACAAACAAAAAAAGACTAAAATGGAAATGCGAGGTGGCAAATCAAACTACAGCTTAGCAGATTTGATGGCAGCAATACAAGAACAGCAAAAGAAACAAGAAGAGAGATTACAGCAGTGGCAAGAAAACCTGCAACAGTGGCAGCTCGACCAGCAAAATAAACAAGAGAGATTACAGCAGTTGTTGGAGGGAAAAGAAAAGAAACAAGAAGAGAGATTACAGCAATGGCAAGAAAACCAGCAACAGTGGCAGCTCGAACAGCAAAATAAACAAGAGAGATTACAGCAGTGACAAGAAAACCTGCAACAGTGGCAGCTCGAACAGCAAAATAACAAGAGAGATTACAGCACTTGTTGGAGGAAAAAGAAAAGAAACAAGAAGAACGAGAAAAGAAACAAGAAGAGAGACTACAGCAGTGGTTGGAGGAGAAAGAAAATGAACAACTGGAACAAGAAAGGAAACAAAAAGTACAAATGGAAAAGATTAGTAAATTTCAAAGTGAATTAAATACATTAAAGGACGATTTACTATCTTTTACACAGGGAGGATATATTAACCATGGACTTAATCAGCCCCAGAAAACAGGAAGCCCCTTCCAGAACCCAGCAGATAAACCCTAATGCAGACATCTTCAGTCCTGCCAGAAGTCACATTCCAGACACAAGTGTCAGTAATAGGGTGATCTAGTATGAAGGAAGCCACAGGAATTCTATTGGAAGGCACCATGGGAAGCATATAGAGCACAATTTGAGCTCCTGGCAGAAATGAATGGACAGAGGAGTAGAAAGCAGTGTACCTGGCAACGAGCCTGAAGCGACACCCACTGGAAATACTTGGACAGTTGTTGGCAGACGACAGACACAACTATAGAGCACTGGTTGCTGCTATAGAACTCAGGTATGGAACTCAAAATCAGTCCAAAGTCTACATGGATAGGTTTAGGACGAAAGTCCGTGCTAAAGGGGAGAGCCTGCAAGAGTTGGTACAAAATTTGGAAAGTATGGCACACAAGGCCTACCCACCTGCACCACCCAATGTCCTCAAGCTGTTGCTGAGGGATCAGTTTATAGATGCCTTGGACAATCCACAACTGAAGATACAAGTGAAGCAAGCATAGCCCTCTACTATACAAGATGCAATGGCCAGAGCTCTTGAATTCGAATCCTATGTTAAGTCCAGCACAGAGGTACCGAAGTTGGTACAGTTATCAGGATTCAAGGCCAGAAAAGGTCAACTTTCAGAGAAGTTTGAAGGACTTTGCTGGCACTGTAACAAACCAGGGCACAAGAGAGCTCAATGCTGTCAACTTCAACACAGGGAAGATGCAATTG